GAGCAAATTAATCAAGCTATGGCTGTGACTCATTCACATGGCTGACACTGACAAAGGATCTACAATCTGAGGTACAGGATCTCAGGAAAAATCCTGAGGGGATTTGACTGACTTTAACACATCAAAAAGCTACAACTCTTGTTGCATAAGTCTTGCTTTATCTTGGTCTTAACCATCCAGCAGGAAAGTAGAAAAACAAAGTATGATAAGTAAAGCCATGGTGTTATGTTGAGCTGTAGGGGATTCTGGTCAACAATTTCTGACACTGCCAGTCAAGTGAAAGACCCAATACTGTTATGGACCACTGGACTCTTTCAGAATATTTTGCTGATTTAACACACCTATAATATTCAAATGACAGAACTAAACAAAAAAAGGGGATACAGGTGAATGACTATTTTGTATCCGTGTATTCAAAATGGTTAGGATAGATATATAGCTACATTCTTTTAATTCAGTGAATAGAGGGATTTGTTCTAATAATGTTTGTAAATAGGATATGTCTGCATCTTGTACAACAAATAACTATTAGGAAGACAGTATGCAATGTGTTAATTATTGGAACCGTCCTACCAATTTGATTTGAAATTGTCTCATTGCTATTTGTCTCTCAATAAAAGTATGGAGAAAAAAAAGAAAAAGAAAAGAAAAAGAACCTTCTCCACTGTTGGTGGGAGTGAAAACTGGTACAACCACTATGGAGATCAGTGTGGATATTCCTTGAAAAGCTAGGATTGGAGATCCTATTCCAGCCCACTATTTCCCTCCTGGGTAATTTTCCAGAAGAACTGAACATCTCAAACCACAGTGATATATGTGCACCTATGTTTATAGCAGCACAATTTGTCATAGCTAAATCCTGAAAACAACCCAGATGATTATCAAATGAAGAATGGATAAAGAAGATGTAGTATTTTTACACAATGGAGTATTATTCAGCTACAAAAGAGGATAATTTTGAGTCTTTTGTTGGTAAATGGATACACCTAGAGAACATACTCTTAAGTGAAATAAGTCAGAACCATATGTGCAAACATCCTATTTTTTCAGTAGTGTGAGAACCTGAAAGAAAAATGGAATCTGAAGAATACAACATATACTGTGAAAAGGGAATGAACTTATTTAAAAAAGAGTTACAGAGTTGAGAAGGACAGGAGGAGTTGGGGAAAGAGATTTATTCACATAAGCATGATGGTTTGGACAATTGCACTATGCATTTCTGCTAGTCTATGGAAAGAAGCACATAATAATTTGTTTTGTCTCAAAAAAAAAATTAAAACAAAGTTATGTTTTATGGAGACAAAAAAAAAAAAAAAGATGCTTGGGTCAGAGGCCGATAACTGCCTTCCTGTGAGCAGATGGGCCTGGTCAGAAGAGCGGGTCACGGGGCCTGACCTGGATGAGTGCATCCCTCTCTTCTGGCTTCTCTTCATCCTCTGCTTCCTGCCTGCCAGAACTGGGGCAGTTTTCCTTGAAATACTTCCTGGCTATACTCTCCCGCCTTAGAGCCAGCTCATCATGGACTAGAAAGTAAACTAAAGTAAACCTCTCCTTTAAATTGTGGGGTGTGGGCTGGGAAGATAGCTCAGTAGTCTAAGTGCCTGCCTAGCAAGGGCAAGCACCCAGGCTCAATCTCCGATACTACACATCTTTCCGTGGTGTTTCAGGTATGGTGGCACACGCCTGTAATCCCAGCGCTGGGGAGGCTAAGACAGGAGGATCACTAGAGTCCAAGCTGCATAGCAAGACCCTGTACCAAATAAATAAACATTGCTCATAAACTAGAGCAAAGTAGTAATTCTTATAATATTAAATTGTGGGGTGTGGGGTATTGTGTCTCAGTGATGACAAAGTGATTAAGACAACTCATTTGTCCCAATACAATGCCAGGGAGGAAGGATATCACAGAACATTTCCCGCATGACAAAGGTTACCACCTATTGTTTAGGTGTAAAATGCTCCCCAAACTCATGTTTGGAGGTGGGGCTGGTCAGAAGGGCAGATCATTGCGAGAGTGATTTTAAATTGTGTACTCCTGAGCAACGTTTCCTCTGCTAAGCCTCTCTGCCTTGGAGTCAGCCTCTTCTTTTAGCTGCAAGCATTGTGTGCTTTGTAGCAGGGATGGAAAGCCTGCTAATACGCCCCCTCACAAAACCCCTGATGCAGTGTTTCAGCGAGGGCACACAGGACTGATGAATCCCCGTGTTCCTGAAACTTTCACAAGAGTAGACGTTAAAAAATGCACAATTTCTGCATGTTCTGCTATCTTTCCTATACTGGTTCTGTATACCACTCATCAGCCATTAAAAACTCCCTTATCCTCCAGCAGCCAGGAGTGAGAGCACAGAAATCTCACTCTGCAGCCCTCCTGTCCTTCAACCCCTTGCCCAACACCAGCTCATGCTTAATCTCATTCCAAGGAGGCCAGAAGTACTGAGTGGATGAAAGTTTGTAGTGTCACTCTCGGTTTCCAGAACATTTTTTTACTTACTGCCTAGCTTAGCATTATTCCATGGAGCCAACTTCTAACACGGAGCCTGGCAGTCTCTTATAGTTTTAAAAGAAAACAAGGAGCGTGTGGCTGTTACATTTTTTTGGGAAAAAAATGACCAAATGTTATCATTAGATAGCACACATATGCCAGCAGTACCTAACTCCCTACCAGAAAGTGCTTGAGAAATACTTGGTTTTTGGCAAAGAAATCTATGGTAGGAATTTTATAAGCAGGTCATGAGGGCGGAGCTAAAGGGCACTGGAGTTTCCTGGTCCTATGTGCTGGTTATGAGCTTACCTCTAGCTGCTTCTCTTAAAAGCTCCTTACTTCTGAGGATGCAACCCTTCCCTCCAACTCCTTCCTACCGTCCTGAAACAACGACCTAAATGTGTAGAAACTATGTTGCTCAGCTCCATGTCACATAGGAGCCTGCGATTTGCTGAAGTGAGGCCAATCTTCCAAATTAATGCTTGCTGAAGCGCACTTGTTTTTTGTCTTAATTTAGATACAGCACAAGGCGTGTAGCTTGAAGTAGGATGGTGACTATGGTCTCTAAAGTTACGTATAATTACTTGAACCCCATAAAAAAACCTAAAGATACTTTAACTTCCCAGCCATATTAAGAATAAAGCAAACCAGAATTTGCACACTGAGACTTTAAAGAGAAGCTAGATAACATCTAGAGTTTTATGTTGATTCCATGCTATGGCAGACTATTATTGTGATAATTTAGCTTAGGAAAGTAAAATGAATTTCAAAATGATTTTAAGGAGAAACTGATGTGTAACAAAGCAAAGCTCTGATAAACGGTAACAAATCTACCCACATATCGGTACTTAGCTTATATAGATCTAACCAAAGTATTTTTGAAGCTGTGACATAAATTATGAGCATAAATGTTTACCCAGAATCAGACCTGCTGATTCCTTTCCTGCAGATGTGGTTGATATCTTAAGTATATTATCATTAAAAATTAAAAAAAAATCCTAGCAATCATAAATTTATAATGAACTATGTAACTTGAAACATCTCCCTGAAATTTCAAGGAAATAAAAATATTGCACATACTGAAGTATTTATGATAAAATGAGAATAGTCAATATTGATGTTTAAACCTTGCATCTAAATCATAAATTGACTTACTGTCCTATAGTAATTACACTAAAAAACAAAAAAACCCTGTACTTTGGCAGGGCTTGCTTTAATCTAACTTCCAAGCAAAGGCAGACTGACACACAAGTCCGCAAAATCAAAACCCAAAATCCATCAGAGAAATTTACTACCAGAAGATTAAAGCCCCTCACCATTTTATCAATATACTGCCTTTTAAGGCGCCACCCATCTTTTTTTTCCACCACCCATTTTTGATGGTATGAACTGACATGAAAGGCAGCTACATAGAGTGGAAAGCTGCATGTGCCTCATTCAAGCACTTGCTTGGGCCAGCAGTTTCTAAAACATACTCAACATTAGAAAATTCACAAGATCCTTTGAAGTTTCAACATATTCAAGCTAAGGGTAGAATGGTGGAAGTACCTGTGAATTGCAGCTGTCAATATGACTGTCTCCATGTTAATAAAAAAACTTTAAAATTGTATGAACACTAGATGAGACCTTAAGCATTCTTAATACTTAAATAAAAAGGCACACAAAAACTTCCCTGAAGAAAAAAAAATCTTTTCTGATTTTTGAAGAGTGGTGTAAAGTGCCTTTCATTCAACAAATATCAGCTCAGAGCTCTGCAGCAAATAAGTAATCTCTGAAGAAGAGACTTCCATGCAATAAAAAGCTGGCTCACTATTTTTCACTGTATTTAGTACAGGGTCTCACTATGCAGCTTGGACTTGTGTTTCTCCTGTTTTCCACCTCCCCAACACTGGGATTACAAGAGTGTGCCACCAGGCTAGGTGTTAAGCTACTTCTAACACCTCCCCATTTCCCTAAAGTCAGTACGATAACCGCATAGGAAAATACTTTTTTCAGTTTTTATTCCTTAAAATCTAAATACCATTTTAAGGATGTTTTCAGTAAAATCTTCATTCTGTAACAAATAGTTGTTCCTTAAAAATCTGTATCTTATGTACTTCTTTTCTGTCCATAAAATGGTATTGTTAACAGATGATATGCACTGGTGTAGAACATTTATTATTTTTCCATGAAACAAAGTTTAGGTCAGTGGGAAATAATTTTAATCAAAGAATTGTACATTTTCTCTTCCCATATCTTACTTTGAATTATGAAATGACATTGCAATCCATTTCACTAGAAGTAAAATATTACAAAATATTTACATGAAAAAACTGGAGAAGAGGAAGCAATGGGATGAAAACAGTGGCGGGAAGAGAACAGCTGCTAGCAGCGCTGCTTCAGTGACCACTCTTCCAGATGAAACACCCTCTCTCAGGTGCAGGAAATTCCAACAAGGCTAAACTCTAAATATTCCTCGATCTGAAATTAGCACACACCCTGACAGCGGAAGTGGCTCTTTCACCCAAGTCCTACTACACGTGTCTTGCTCCATGAGCTGCTGGAACACGAGCCTGTGTTGCCATCTACAGCTGTCACAGCAGCCCTTCCATCTCCTTCATGAAAGCTTCATAAACATCATCCTTAGTTTGTACTGAGACAGGAACAGAAGGGCCAGATTTGGGGGCCGCTTTGGCAAGAGGCACAGCAGAATCATCCTCTGGCTTTCTTTGGGGAGCAGCAGTGGCCCCTTTATTCTCCCGACGTACCCTCAGCGCAGTGGGCACAAATCGAGTAATCTCTGCCTTGGGATTGGTGATCTGTGGCTTGGCACTGATGGTCGCTGTGGCTTTCTTCTCAATGGTGGCTGCACTCGTGTCATTCGCCTTGGGTCGCTGAATCAAGTTGGGGGGGGCACTTAGCACCCCTGGGTTTGGCAGGGGAGCTGGTGGGAAAAGCCCAGGTGGGGCAGGTCCAAGGGGAGGCACCAGAGGTGGGCGCATCATGCCGGGACGTGGCGGAGGGAGGCCTACATCGGAGGAAAAGAGCCAAGTAAGCCCCAGAACTAATGCTAGTTAACTTCTAATCAACTACACTTGAAGTGCTATTAAACTACCATGTTTAATGCAGGTTAATACATCTTAAAACATGATACATTTTCAGAAAAAAGCCAAACTCAAACCATACTATTCAAAACTCAGGAATATATTTTGATTGATAGTAAAGGAAGAAAATACTCACCTTTATCCTGTATCCCTATAGTATATAAAGTTAATTACCAACAGGTTTCAAATACTACCTCAAACTTTACATGTGAGGATACTACTCTTCCTGAAGAGTACAGATGTCATTAAAGTATGGGTCAAGGGTCCACCCTCATTCCTGACTTATTTCTACACCACTACCAGTGCGAAAAGCGTAAACTCGGAGGGCAGGAAATACATGTTTACTCCTGGTCATTAAATGGACGTGATATGACAATTAAATGGATATGAGAAAACATATCACAACATGTGATTCCTGGGAAACACTTAAGGTACTATTTATGGTTGAGGCATACAATCATCATTATTTCAGCAACTGCGGATTATAATGTTCTCTGAATATAAAGCACTATATTTCATTAAATCTTAGATGCTGCTGGTTACATATATCTATAATTATTCTGTATACCACTAAGAAAGAAAAAAATCTAAGCTGAGGCACTAAACCTTCTGACTTTTTTCTCCTGTAGCACTGGGGACTGAATCCAATGACTTTCCCACCGAACTACATTCCCACCTCTTTTATCTTTTAATAAAATATTTTATTTTGAGATAGTCTCACTAAGTTGCTTGGCTGGGCACAAACTTGGACTCTGCTGCCTCAGTGTTCCAGAGGGCTGGGAGTATAGGTATGCACCCAGGCCCAGCAGCGATGTAAAACTTTCAGTGGAAACTCATCCAGATGCACAAAATGGCTTCATAGTTACAACTGTACTTCTAAAAGCAAAATAATTCAAATATAAAATTCAATTCAATGTTGTCAATGGCCATGAAGCCCCACAACTGACAGACGGAAACAAATGAAAATATCTACTTTAGGAACTTTGCATCAGTCCAGGCCAACAGCAATGAAAACCATCACTGATCATTAAGACACCTCATTTTTTTTTTTTTTTTTTTGCAGTACTGGGGATCAAACTCAGGACCTTATACCTGCTGGGCAGGTGCTTAAACTGCTGAGCTATCTCCCTGGCCCAAGACACCTCTGATTTCAACAGACTGAGATGTGACAAAACTGAGAGCACAGGGAAAGTATAGCAAAACAGGTTTCTACTACAGAAACCCAAAGCGTCACCTGGAGGTGCCGGCGGAGGCAGCCTGGGTGGGGGGCCCCGTGGAGGGGGACCAGGAGGCAGTCCTGGAGGAGGCCCAGGGGGAGGGCCAGGGGGTCGGCCTGGTGGTGGTCCTGGGGGCAAAAGCCGGGGTAGAGGCCCTCGGAGCCCTGGCATTCCAGGTGGCCTCAGGAATGGAGGAGCGCCTGAAAAGAGAAAAAAGATAAATACACACATCAAAGATACATGAAGTGGTATAAACTGTGGTATAAATGCTTTGACTGAAGTTAACCTCAAAATTAGGTACCTTCATTCAACAATTATCAAAGCACCATTAAAAGGTACTGGATTTGTTACAAATCATTTATTTTTATTTTCCAGGACTGACAATATACAAAGATAAGAAAAATTCTTAAATAGTTCAAGAATAAGCTGCAATCAGAATATAAGTCAGGATGCTTTTTTTTTGTTTTATTTTTTTGGTAGGACAGTTTCAAGAATTAACACATTGCATACATTCTTCCTAGTGGTTATTTGCTGTACATGATGCAGACATGATATCCTATTTACAAACACTATTACAACGAATCCCTCTGCTCATTAAGAGAACGTAACTATATATCTATCCTAACCATTTTGAATACACAGATACAAAATGGACATTCATCTGTATCCCCTTTTTTGTTTAAAGGCCCCTGAATCTCATTAAGATACCTGGTGGTGGGCCAGGAGGGAGGCCCGTGGGTGGTCCTGGAGGCCGCAGAGGTGGGGCAGGCGGGGGCCCAAGAGAAGGAGGAACGGACTGAGGGGGCGCCTGCTGCTGGGAGGAAGCTGTGGCTGCACCCTCATGAGAGTCTTCTTTGTGCTGCTTCTGTGACTGCTTCTCTACTTCAGAATCCTCTGAATCCTCCTCCTCATCATCCTCTGAAAATTCTTCCACTTCCCGACCCTCCTCAGGGATTTCCTGACCTGAAAGAACATGAAAACTGTGTAAATGAAGTTGATTTTTTTTTTCCATCCTGGAGAAAAGCACAGGCTAATGCCAATGCTCATTAAGTCCACTCTAAAAAATTAACAACTAGTCTTCCAAAGTAAGCCAGAGATGTGGAAGAATCATAGAGCATGGTGCTCGTGTGGTGCAGGGGAATGGACCTACCAAGGCCTTAGAATGAGACAGAGCTGCGTGGAAAGGCCCGCAGGACAACTCAGGGCAGCCTGTTACTGGTTCCAGAATTAACTGTTATAAAACTCAAACTTATTATTTGCTTCAGGGGTCTGAGAGGCCCTGAATAGCAAACTGTACATGAGTGCAGCCAAAAGGCGAGGCACTATTTCTTCCTTGCCGTACCTGCCATTCGCAGCATCATGGCTTGAAGAGGCGTCAGTTCCTTCATGTTCTTCTTTTTCTTTCTCGATTTCCCAGGCATGTCTGCAAACCGCACACTCAGACCTAAGGGGTCCAGGGTGGGTGGGACAGCGAAGACAGAGATCAGTAAACTTCAGTTGTTTACTACAGAACTCAAAAGTATTATGTAACTACAACTATTACTGGACAGAGCTGCAGAAATAGACACATTAAAGCTGCACTACAAAGGCCTGAGTTCAATGCCTGGTTGGGGGGGGGGAGATAACTGCACTAAACACATGCTACAGTAAATTAAAATATATAAATCTTAATGGAAAGGATATAAGCACAAAACATAAGGAACTAAGATTTACTTCCTTAAATGTTACAAATAATTTTATGATGCAATTCTGCTGTACATTGTTACAGAAGTTCTCTGAAAAAAGGTATAGGAAGAGATGGAAAGCAAGATACCTCATAAAGCTAGAAAAACCTTAATATCAGTACTAATCCAACAGTATTTAAAAAACAACAAAAAACTATGTCTTAAGCATGCAGGCTGCTTCCACATACATAGGATGGTTTCACAAAGAAGAGCTAGCAAGGTAATGAATTCACTATAATAAGCAACTTAAAAAGAAAAAAAAAAACAAACAATGCAAAACCCATGTCCAACAGATGCTTAAAAAATATGCTTAAAAGACCAGGAAGATAGCTCAGTGGCCCAGCACATGTCTGACAAGTGCAAGGTCCTGAGTCTGACTCCCCACACTGGGGAGTGGTGGGGGAGGGTGGCAAGCTGGAACAGATACTTTGTAACCTGGTAAGAGCTGCGCTCTACAGATGATTAAACCCATGCTTAATGGTAAACTATCAGGAGCATTAGTTGGCAAACACTGAAGGTAACTATCCCATGCAGGCAAAACTTTTGGCTTGCATCCTTAGAAAAATGCCTAGAATATAGTAAAAAGTCAATACATATTAGCTGAAAGGAAGAGTATCAAATCAAAGTTTGGGCAGACATTTTTAGGGTATCTGTGATGAGTATATATGAGGAAAAAGTTGGTAGAAAAAGGAAAAAAAAAGGTAAAGAGACCATACAGACAAAAATAGAACTGCTGTGACCCTAGCTTTTATTTTCTTGCATTAGTCCCTAAGAGTCTTTCATACTTTTCTAATATAATTTCTCTGTACCACTCCTTATTTGTAGTCAAGATTAAAAAATAGTAGAATTATTTATCATTACAGGCTGGGAAGATAGCCCAAGAGAATAAGCACTTGCCTGGCAAGCGCAAGGTCTTGAGTTCACTCCCCAGTAGCGAAACCAAACAAAACAAAGCAAATCAAAACAAAGCATTTGTCATGTTGTAGACACAGTGGTCTCTCACTAACTGCGGAGGCAAATGACACTCCTATGATACATGAAAATTGGTGAAGTAACAACTCTGTATTTATTTTAGTATTTATATATATGTTTTCAGGCTTTCTAAATACTTCTCACCCTTTTTAAAAAATGTATTTGGTACAGAGTCTCACTACGCAGATCAGACTCAGGGTGATCCTCCTGTGTTAGCTTCCCCAGAGCTGAGACTAGGTGTGTGCCAGCATGCCCAGGCTTGGTGGCTGGCTCGGTGCACTCGGGGCTGGGCTGGCACAGCATGGGGTACCAGGGATGGAAGCTGGGTCTCTGCATCTGCCTAGGGAGGTGCTTAGACTGCTGAGCTACCTCTGAGGCTCCCCTTCCCACACTCTTATAAACCTTTCCCACACTTTGAAAAACACTTCTAATGTTCTTAGCCATTTTCTAAATCCATAAACCTATGTAATATACGTATACTCATGGTACTACAAAATCCTGCAATATAGTGAAAAATCTGTGATAAATAATTTAGATTAATAGTTTGTGAAAACCTGAGAAAACAGAATCCATGAAAGTCAAACCGCAAAATAGCAAGGGACTACTGCAACGGTTTTTGAAAATCCATGGAACAGTTGAGTTTATGAAAGTTGAACCACAAAACAATGAGGGATTACTGTATTAATATTAGCATTATATATATTAATGCTACACATAAATACTGTGTATGCCAAGTATAGGCTACAAAAACAATCCCAAAAGCTCCACTACTGATGCACGCTAACAGGACACTTTGCATTGCTATTACACTGCACAAAATTTTTAACAATAAATGACACACACCATAAATAAGAGTTCATGATTCCACTTATATAGGTCCAAGAATTATAATTATAATTCTGGTTTTTGTTTAGACACCATCAATACAGAAAATTCAAGGAGCAAGAAAGGACATCTAAAAAAGCTTATTTAGGAAGAAAAACAAAAGGTTATTCTCTTTTCTTTCCTGTGGCCTATCTTTATGCTATTAAGCTACATATACTATTTCCTCCTTGATATCCACTAAATACTATGTTCTAAAATTTTTCAAAATATTGAGACATAAGGTGAACACAACTGTGGTCCCTCCTTTTCAAGAGCTCACAATCACATTCACTCCTGATAAATCAGGGCCTTTAGCTGTGCTCTTCGCTGGCCAGGACTGCAGCAGTCCATCTGCACACACCTGCCTTCTTTTCCTCGGTGTTGTCTCGCTCATTATCGTCTCGGTGCATAAACTCGTCCACGTCACTTTCTCCATCTGACCTGTCTGTGTCACTGTCATCAGTGCTGTCATCGTGCTTGTCCTGATCCATGTCCTCAGGGTAGCCGTCATCTTCACTGGTGCTGGAAACATCGTCATCATGACCACGCTGCGCTGAAGCGGGGAGAGCACGGAATAAGTGATACGGACTCGGGCTCCCCACCACAACATCCAGAAATAAAGGATCTACATTCACTGGGTAACTCAGAATATGAACCTGTTTCACCAAAAATTCAGCACATAATTACAGCTATTCACATAGTTTGGCTATTTTTACCAGACGGTAATTCTAAATACTCCTTTTGATAATGTAAGTTTTAAAGTAAAACAAAATTCAAATTTGGGGCCTGCAAGATAGCTCAGCAGACTAAGCACCTGCTTAGGCAAGTGCAGGGACCGAGATTTGATGCCTGGCACCACATGCCACACCAGGGGTGCGCTGAGCCAGCCACGGAGACTGGGTGTGGTCTGGCACATGTATAATCACAGCACTGGGGAGGCTGAAAACAGAAGGGTTGCCATGAGTCCGAGCTATGTAGTGAGACCCTGTACCAAATATTTAAAAAAAAATACAAAAAAACAAAAACCCCAAATTGGAAAACATTACATTTAGAAACCATACACAGTGAAAAAATAGTCTAATGACAATAATTTCCAGATAGTTAACCTAATGTTAAGGCATTGGTAGTAAGAATGTGGTATTTGTAAGCCTGATTAATGCAGGCCAGGCATGAGGGTGTGGGCCTATAATCCCAGCATTTGGGACCTGAGGCATAAGGACTGTGAGTTCAAGGCCAGCTGATGCTACCAGCAACTCTGAGAAAAGACTGAAGTTAAATAGCATAATAAACTTTTCTATATATTCTGGTATATGATTCTTGTACTTGGGAGATTCTATGATTTATCCGTTCATACACCTATTAGATATATAAAGAATCCTCATTAATTTCCTAAATTCTGATGGTCATGAACAACAGATTAAATAGGGCCAACGTGAAAAATGACAAAGAAAAGGTTGCAAAAGAAATAGTCATGCCTTACCAAGATCAGGGCTATATAACATGTCTTCATCTCGCCTACGAGGAGGAAGATCAAGAGCAAAGCCCACTTTACGGCCATACATCTGCAAGACTTGG